TGGGGTCTTGTTCACAAATGAGAGGAAGATGGAGCGGGAGATCGATAGGCGAATTGCTGCTGCTTCTGCTGAGAAGCATGCGCTGTACCGGTCTGTTGAGGTGAAGAGAGAGCTGAGCCAAAAAGCAAAGCTCTCCATTTAGCGGTCGGTCTGCGTTCCTACCCTCACCTATACTCATGAGCTTTGGGTCATGACCGAAAGTATGAGATCCCGGATACAAGCGGCTGAAATGAGTTTTCTCCATAGTGTGTCTGGGCTCTCCCTTAGAGATAGGTTGAGGAGCTCAGTCATCCGGAGAGGACTCAGAGTATAGCTGCTGCTCCTCCACATCGAGAGGAGCCAGTTGAGGTGGCTCGGGCATCTGATTAGGATGCCTTCTGGACGTCTCCCTGGTGATGTGTTCCAGGCAAGTCCCACTGGGAGGAAGCCTAGGACACGCTGGAGGGACTATGTTTCTCGGCTGGCCCGGGAGCGCCTTGGGATTCCCCCAGAGGAGCTGGCCCAAGTGGCTGGGGAGAGGGACATCTGGGCCTCCCTACTGAAGCTGCTACCCCTGTAACCCGACCCCGGATAAGCGGAAGAAGATGGATGGCTTGGATGGACAATATACTTATAAAATATAAGTATTAACTCTATTATTTTTTGTTTGGATTAGGGTGACCAGATTTGGGTTTCTGGAGTAGGGGGGTTATAATGCTGCAATGTTAGCATTGCTCTCATCTGCAGGTAGCAATCTTTTTTGTGACTGTGGCCGGCGGCTGCTAACCAACCAATGGGCAGAAGTTGAGCCCTCAAGACACACCCCTCCTCATTTGCATAATGAGGCAGAAATGCATACACAAATGTAAATATGACAGGCAGAAATAAATAGCGTTTACATATGGTAAAAAAATACAAAGGAAGAATAAACCATACAAAAATATTATGACATGCACATAAATAAATGCTTAAAGAAATAAGTAATAAATAAATAAAGTTGAAGAATATAACGGACAATAAATAAATAAGGTAATTATTACAAAGGCAAATAAACAAAGAAGCTAAATAAAAGATATATATATATTTATGTATCACTGTATAATTTAATTTCTATCTACATTTATTTGTTTATTGTTTTTTGGTGGGCAATTAATTGTATGCTTTTATTTTTGGAGCATTTATTTATTTCTGTATTTATTTTTAATTAAAGCAGGATTGGTCCTCCATAATAATATTCTTGTTTTGACAAAAAATAAAATAAAAATCGGGTTATAACATCATTGACCCAGAGGCGGCGCTGTGGCACTACTTTGTTGCCAGGGAAACGGTTCACAACAACCGGCAGAGCTCTGCCAGCGGCAGCAGCCACAAGTGTCCTGACTGTGCTGGGTGCTGTCGGACGGGACCCGTTCAGGCGGGGTTAAAAGTTAAACGCTCTCTTCTTTCTTCTCTACAAGAATGAAACTCTACAGAATGTCTTCATCTTAACGGAAAACTCAAACGACTCGCTGTTTTTTGGTGAGTAACCTTACTCAACTTTACAGGACAGCTTCGTCCCACTATAAGCAGTTAGCGGTACAAAGCTAGGTCTCCTCCGCTAAGCTAAGTCCCACGTTGGCGCAGATACCAAATAAGCACAATAAATGCAGGTTTATAAAATAAAAAACATTTCTACCTAGAATACTTCCGTGAGATGTTTTATAAATTTCTTTAAAAAGGTCCAGTATTATTACAACTACTCTGTTTGCTTCATCTAATGAATTTGTGTTATAATAAAAAAGGAGAATAAAAAAAGAAACTTTTTAAATCTTAATTTTATGAAAAAATAAAAGGAAACTTCCTAATTTATTTGTAGGAAGTCAAAAGGTTATATATGAGTACATTTATGCATGTAATAATTATGTATATTAATGCATGAGTGAATGAAAAGTTAATAATTATTGTAATCAATGCTTTGCTCCGCCTCCTACAGTTGTGATTGTTTACCATACCATTAATACCATTATTAATTAGAATATTATATTATGATTATTCTCTTTTTAATACACCTTCACCACCATTTTTACATTTTAGTTTCAGCTACTCTTTGTGATGGCACTGCAGTAATTTGTACTGTAATTAATCACTCATTCGTTAAACAAAAAGCGGTTAACAGAAGTGAAAGGAATGTGTAAAGATGATAAATAGACTAGACCTCATCAAACTTTGTATGTTGATAAGAAAACACTAAACATAAGAATAAAAATACATAAAGACACAAAGAAATATAAAACAAAAAAATAACGTATACGGTAATCAAATTAAATACTAAAATGGTTAATAACTGAAATAGAACTTCTAAAACAGAAAAAAACAGCTCAAATACATGAATATCTATACATATTTCTTGATTGTCCAGGTATGTAAGGTACATTAAAAATGGAATTTTATTAAAAACATGCAAAAAACCTGTTGTTTTGTATAACCCAACTATTGCTTCAGTTATATTTAAAAACAGCCTCATCTACAAAGGTTACAGAGGTATCTTCTATGTAAAAAATGTCTATCTTAAACTGCTGTGAAGAACATCAATATTGCAGTGTTTTTAAAAGTATGAGGTTTCCTTGTTTACAGTAAAAACATTTACCGGTAAGACTAAATATTTAAAAATGTTAGCCTAATGGTGGTTTTATTTGGAAGTTTAAGGATTGCTTAAGGGATACAGTTTTGGATGGGCAATTTAGATTTGATTTACATTTTTTATTAGGTTTTTTTCATTTCAATTTGTGCATATTTGATTCTGATTTTTCTGATCTTATCTCACCAACATATTTAATAATTTCTGACATTTGTTGTCCAACATTTTGCATTGCCATGTCTGCTATTATGCACATCCAGGCATTCCTGCCTTTCTACCTCGGCAGTTCTCTCTTCTCAGCATCCCTCCCAGTCCTTCTGCAGCCAACGAGATCCCAAGCTTAATTAAGCCCATGAGAACAGATGGTCTCCTGGCAGCCTCTGCTGTTTGTCAGCAGTGCCTGGCCACACTAAATACTGCTAAATGCCTCTGTAGGGGAGGGGTTTAGCAGACACAGTGATAGACTTATCAGACGTCATTAGCTCTGAGGACTTGGTATAAAATGGACCCAATTAACTTTATGGATTGACAATCAGTTTGGTAGAAACGAGACAATCAGCTATAAGATTTATTTAATTTTTTTGCACAAAGTGACCTAAAAAGAGCCTCATGCCCAACACCTCTCTGTCAGCCTCACAAATCCAGATTTACGTGTAGTATCCCTAAAAATAGGCCCTAATCTACAATGGTCACATGACCCGTGAGTCAAGTTGTAATAATTACAGTGTTTGTTGCACAGTTGGGAACAGGTGTTGTGAAGTAAATGGCTGGATGAAGCTGAACTGGAGAGAATCAAAGGTGATGGAGGTCAGAAAGCGCTCTTTGTTGTTAGCTAGACTTGTGGACAGACGAGAGCAGACAGGAGTTAAGGCTCTAATCATCATGACACTAAAGCTCAGGGATAGTGGAGGGGACGTCATAATAAGGCCAGAGAAAAGGAGTAGGGATAGAAATTTGGCTGAAAACCACAAATGCCACAATTCTAATGGTCAACATTAATATAGCCGTGTTGTGTTTTTCTAAGGATTAGAAACATATTTAATGAATTTTATTTTAAAAATATATTTTTTCCTGTTTCAGGCTGTTTGGGAACATCAAAATTTGTATTTGCAAACTGAAAAAAATACATAAATACAGCATTTCCTCTTAAGGGAAGCATATATCTTTGCGATCCCTTCTCCAAAATGCTGACTTTTTGGTCTTTAAGCCTCTAACTGGTTAAATTCTGTGCCTTTTGTTTATTAGGAAAAAAACAAATATATTTTCCCCAGCTTTGACATCCAGGCTTAAATTTCAGATCCCTTACAAAAACCCTCCTGCACTACAACTTAACATGATGCTCCCAATCTCAAACTTCACAGTTGAGGGTTGCAGAGTTTTTCCATTTCTGTTTAACTGTAACAATGGGCAATGTCAACATAATGGATTTCGCATTAACTTAATGAATATCTTAATTACTAATGACTGCTTGGATGCAATATTTGGTAGAATATTACATTTTAAGTTGCAGGCATTGGTATTCTGTTTATGCAATAGTATATCTGGTAAATTGAATAGACTAATACTATTGATAATGCTCACATTCTGTGGGAAAGATGGTAGAGATCTTTGACAGAGATGGTAAAAAAGTTTTAGGTAAGGTGTTAAGTATAAGTCTTACCATCATGTTTTTTGGCTAGCATCACCACAGCTGTAGTGCAGCATTAGAACTAAAGTGTCTCTGTAAGTCTGTAAATCATCTTTTCTTACATATTGAAAGAACTTAAAGTTTATTTTAATGCTGATACTATTGTTGGTGTCAGTTTAACCTCTTTAAGGTGACTTGGTTGTTTACTGGACCACTAGTCAGGATCAGGAGTTTCTCTTACTGTTTTGTGGGTCAGAAAGTGAAGGTTTGGGAACCCCTGCAGTAGAGCTTTGCGTAAAGTTCTCAAGTATTTCTTTTTGACTAGTGAGTAATTTTTCTTCTTTAAAAACAGTCAGCAGTTTCATTGAGATCAGAAAAGATTAAATAATCCAGAAAGTGACATTTCAAAGTTAGGCTTTTCTTTTGTAAACATCCTGTCATGGAACTTTTTCTAAATAAGCCGTCCTGGAGTACTTTTAACCAAATAGAAATAGCACACAGAGACATTTGTGGCAACCAACCGATGTCTTTTCTTGATCAAGACAAAACCTTTAATAAAGCTGGTTTTTACATTATGTATACCACAGAAATGTGCTTAAGATAGCACAAAGAAATCAGGAAACCTTGCACCAATCTTATATACGCCTTGCATACCTTCTTACCTAATTAACTCCTTTGCTTTTGATCTGAATGTGTTTTGTGTAACTATAAGCATGAAAAATCCCTACCCAGTAAATTGTGTTTTATGTAATACTTAAAGCAAATTTTCTGTCTTTATTCCAGGAACAGCACAACGGACATCATCGTAGATATGGTCTTTTGACCATTAAGTACAGCAGGCCTCAGGAAACACCGGTGTGGTTTGCACCGTACCCTGCTGCAACAGGAATGATTACCTACCGTACAAATGGTTATGTACAAGACGCCTCAGCTCCGGCTGTGAGGAGCAGGGAGAGGGCTGTGGACTGCCCAGGGCAGGAAGGTAGCCCCCTGAAATCCCCACACTGCAGCACCAAAATGGAGAGAATCCAGCATTACCAGGAAGAGCTGAGAAAGCGTAGGGAGGAGGACAGCAAGGGGAAGCATAATATTGATGCAAATACTTCACTGAGACTTAAGAAGCTGTCTCAGAACCCAAAGATTGGCATTGACAATCCCACCTTTGTGGGGAAGGAGAAGACCACCAAAGAAGTGACCTGCCTGCTTCCTGTTGTTGGTGAGTAAAGTAGAAGGTGGCAGTGATTGGTGAGATGTCTTTATAATGGTTGATGAGCTTGAAAAGGGAAAGGAGGGCTTGAAAGGAAAAGAGCTATGCAGGCCAGGGAAGAATGGAGGGTCATGACGTTTTACAATAAAACAATCTGTGAGAACAAAAGGAGTCAAAACAGTAACCAGTTAAGGGATAGGGCAGAGAACGTGTTTTGTCTTTTATTGGCTGTCTTAGATTCACACTCCTATTTTGAGCTCTAACATCTGCTGGCTGTCCTAAACCAGATAACTAGATGCTTTATGCCATCTGGGGTCGTGAGGGGTGCCGGTGCTTATCTCCAGCTGTCTACGGGCGAGAGGCGGGATACACCCTGGACAGGTCACCAGTCCATCATAGGGCAACACAGAGACAAACAGAACAGATAACTATTCACACACATCTAAGGAGAATTTGGAGAAGCAAATCAAACTAACAGTCATGTTTTTGGACTTTGAGAGGAAGCCGGAGTACTCGGAGAGAACCCATGCATGCTCAGGGAGAACATGCAAACTCCGTGCAGAAAGATCCCGGGCCGGGAATCAAACCCAGAACCCAGTGCTATCCACTGCTCCGTGAAGCAGTGGGTAGCACTGCTGCCTTGCAGCAAGAAGGCTCTGGGTTTTAATAAAAAACAAATTTTTATTTTATTTTAATAAATCTTTGACTGATGGATAGAGTACATCCTGTATATTCCAGGATAAAACTGACAGATTTAAAAAACATGGCTTGCTACGGTTTTATGACGAATGATTAGAAAAGAAGCAGAATAAATGATCAGAATATAATCTTTCTAAACTGAAATTAAATGCAATTTCATTTATGAAAACCTTCAAAAAACAGTAAAATTCAACAAAGTGCTGTACAGAGCAAAATAAACAAGACAACACTAATATAGTAATGAAAAACAGCAGGGAAAAGGGTCTGTAAAAAGAAGTAGAATAAAACACACATTTCAATTTCGGTACTGTCATTTTACTGTCAATTCAATAAAAAAATACTTAATTAATCCCAAAGGGAAATAAAATGTTGCAGTAATTAATGGTGTTATTTTTAACCAGGTATTATAGTTGTTGATGGCGGTACGCAGAAAAGAGCTTCCTTTAACTTTCAAAAGTGGAATAAAGTGAAATTTAGGTTTCTAATCCAGCCATTGCATTCATAAGTTCTGAATCTGCTTTTCCAATCAAATAATTAGAGGAAAATGTTCAGTACCTCTGAACTGCCAATTTTGGTGGCATTTTTTCAAACATTGTCTGGTGGTGGGGCAATGCTTTGACACTGGGTTTAGTTACACTTAAAATAACAAAAAATGTTATTCCTAAAAGTGGTGATTATTCAGATACAATTAAATTTGAGGACCAGATTCTATTTCAACCTGGAGAGACTCACACAGAGAAAAGCTGCAATTAGAAAAGTTTTCTTCAATTCAATTTATTTATACAGGTAACACAGTCACATTGGTCAAAATATTTCTATCTGAGGGAAACCAGCTGATTGCATCGACTCATTGTCTCTGCAATCCCTTACACGGCATGCAGTGGAGCAGAAAACTCCCTTTTAACAGGAAGAAACCTCCAGCAGAACCAAGTTCAGTGTAAGCGACCATCTGCAGAGGCTGACTGGGGTTCAAGGAGGCAGCAGCAGATTTACAGATATTGACATAAATGCAATAAGTTATTTTTCCCTCTGACCCCAGCAGAAGAATTTGATGCTGAGAGTCAAAATTTGCTCGGATGAGTAACCTACATGTTCTCCAAAACCTTATCTGGTTTCTCTCTCTATGTCTGTCAGAACTGGAGGAACTGCTGCAGGTTCTGAAGTGGGTTCAGAACTGCTTGAATGATTCTCAGAGTCAGCAGGACGTCGAAGCCGTATTGCAACTCCTTGCCAGGGAAGAATTCAGGAACGCCTACACTATCTACAGCGCTCTGTCCCAGCAGATGAACAGAGTCAGTCCCACCTCGCCTCTAACAGTACAAGCACAGGATCTGTGCCAGGAGGTATTTGTCTATTCATGTTACAGGTTTACACTTTAAGAATACTCTCAGTCCAAAAAAAAAAAAAAACGGATTGACAGGGTCTGGAATATTGAGTCACAAAACATGATATTTTAACCAAGAATCTCTGCAGAGGAACCAGTTTTACATCTAATCTGGGTTCAGTTAGTTTGAATTTAATACTGAAATTCGTATGTGGATGTAATTACTGGCCAAAAAATGGTGCACAAAGAGAATTGGAATTGTGAAATAACAATGAGGATATGTTTCTCTGTGACTCCTGCTAAAAAAGTTGTTTTATTTTGTTGTCAAATTACAAAATAATGGCAAACATTTGAAAAAGCAACTATCTGGAAAACAGTAAAAAGTCTGTCGTTTGAGGATTTTCATTGAGTCTGCAGATTTAATGCTGAACCAAACCGTCGATACATGATGTGATCTATGCTGTGTGTGAAATATTCAAAAACAACTTGTTCAGTCATTGGAGAAAGACAGATTTTGTGATGAGACTTGTTAGGGATAATGGAACCATCCATCCATCCATCCATCCATCCATCCATCCATCCATCCATCCATCCATCCATTTATTTTATCTTCTATCCAGTCTTAGCTTTTCACAGGCCCTTTAATCAATGTCTGACGTCTAAAGCTTCTAAAAGAAGCGTAAATGTTGCTAATAACTGTGAAATTGGTAAAAACACTGATTTCTTTGTAAGTTTGGGAGAAAGCATGGATTTTAGAATGAAAAACATGGATGGCCCTTGGTAATATCTACTCTCCTTAATTTGTGTTACAACTTTACAATTGACTTGTAATGCTTTTGACCTAACAGCCCATAAACTGCAGGCAACATTCTAAAAGGACAGTTACTCCAGTTATCGCAGGACTGATTCTGAGATAAACAGGCTGGCTGCGGTAGTCGATACTTGCTTTATACATGCTCACACATGCTCACGCACAGACTGTGTATTCTTTCATGCACCAGACACAGTGTTACCTTTGCAGTAAGACTAAACTAAACGCCTGTGCTGTGTGATACTCACACTGACCATTATGTAAACTAATCTCCTAGCAGCCCCCTGCGCTAGCAGCACACCGCAGGACGAGGGCCAGGATCTGCACATCCAGAAAAAGAAACTCCAGCAGCTTATAGCAGCATGGGCTGAGGTGCAGCTCTGCTTATGGGGGAGGGGCGAGTGTGTCACCTTGTTAGTGAGAGCTTTGATTAATGTAATGGATGAACTAAGCTCTGAACAAGAGGTGAAGAGGCCGAAGGGCAGATGAATTGGCCTGACAACACAAGACCCATAGGATCTAAAATAGAAACCCACTGGACAGTGAATAGGCTTTAAAATGTTAATGCAATGTTAACATTTATATCTGTACAGCAGATAACAATATATCTTTATTCTGTGTTTCTTAAAAGAGTAAGAGCCACGTCTCGAGCCTCTGGTATTTTTAGTTTGAGGGTAGCCAAGTGAATAATATTGGGCTCTGCACATGCTATAACTGAAAGGCGGGAATACAGACCTATTTTCCCTAAATCCCAACTGTTTTAAATTCTGTGAATGAGAGATAATGATGGAGGGAGGGATGTTCAATAGTAGGTGAAAAAACATATTTATGTCAAGTTGTGCAGAGATAAAAGTAGCCTAAAACAGTCATCATCCTAGGCAAGCTTTTTTTGTTTTATTTATTGCTCTTTTGGATAGCTTTCATCTATTTAAAAAAAACAACAAAATTTTTTTACTGTTTTATGCCGTTGGAAGCTTAAACATGTCTGTAAAAAATAGAAGTTTTAGGTATAGGGTCAAATACTTTTAGTAAGGTTTAAGAAATTACCAGTAGGATTTATTTAGAAAAACTAGTTTATTATTTTTTCTGATCTGCAGGTTTTGATGTCTTGGTGTCAGATTTATGGAACCGTAATCTGTCTTTGTTCAGGTTCAGAGGATCCTCCAGACAAGCCAACAAAAGGAGGGTTTGGAGCTCAGCGCGCTGCTCACCAATCCCCATCTCCAGGTCAGAGACCAGCTTTCCGGCTGAGACCTTTGCTTGACCTTTAATATGATTATATGTTTTTTTTCTCACAAATCCGCAGAGCCTTATTCATCCGCTCGTTTAATGAGTTAGAATTCAGGCAATTAAACTGCTGGAAATATAATTAATGTTATACACGACTGCCTCCAAAAGGGTAATTGTTTCTCCAGCATCTTACACTGGGAAGTCAAAGTTCAGAGTTTAACAAATTAACATCTTGCTGTCTGAAAGGCAGCGGAAAAGTTTGTGTCAGAGTTTGAATACTACTGCTACTTTCATCAAAATACAGTGTCTCTTACCAAACTCCCCATCCCTGGCTGTCGTCATGTTTGTGCTGTTATCTGCTTGGGGACTGGATTTACTTCTTTTTATCTACTCGTCCGGACGTGCCTGAAGTTGAACTTTATGTTACCTGTTCATTGATGAGCCAGCAAAAAAAAAAAAAAAAAGTTTAGTTATGTTTTTTTCAAAACAGGACAGATATAAGTTTCTATTCTAGATGCAACTTACTCCTTTGAAATCAAAACTTTGTTTAAAGTACTTTTTCTGTTTTAGAAGTCACAATTTTCCAGAGCATTTCCTGCCAACTATCTCTTTTTAATTTGCTGAAATTCTTTATAGTATTCATTGTTTCATATTTGTGTTTTCCTAGCATTTAACTTTCCAACACAACAACATATTTTATCTCCTAAACCTAAGCCACTTATTGTTAACAGAAAACTGTATTCATCTATGGGTCTTTCTGTGGGTTTCCAGCCAGGAACTTCAACACAAACATAGTCATATGAAAACAACTAGATTTCACTTATGAGAGCATGTTTTTGCACTATTATTAACATAAACTGTTAATTAACCAAGAAATCTTAAATATAAATGACTGAAATTAGTTATGCTAACAAACAACATTTTGTTGTACTCACCCTTGTTTTATTATGATAATATGAAACCTTCATGCCCTTATCTTAAGATAAAATGTGTTTTCAAGGTAACACTTTTTTCCTTGCGGATTCATCATGTATCATCATTTGCTAAATAACAATTCAGTAAAGCATAATTATGGGGTGATGTGAGCTTTAGCTTGTTTGGTGTGATGGCTTCATCATTGTCTGATTGTCTGGCATGATGAAATCTCAAGCTTGTTTTTTATGCATTAACTCATTCAGGTGAGTGTTTTCCTTGTCTTCTGTCTTAAACTCCTTTTTATAATTTATAACAAGGTTAAAAACCCTTTTTTAATTGTTAAGCCAAAACTTTTTTATATACATCTCTCAGATTTACATAAAAGAGACTCTTAATGGCAATATAATACAGCCCTAGAGTGCTATTAGTTTTTTTTATTAAAGTATTTTATTGGAGGCCTAAGTTCCTGCCACATTTCCTATTTCCTGTTTCCTGAGTACTTTTAAAGCTTAAAAAATTTAAATGCTCTTGCTGCAAAAAAATTAAAAAGGAAGAAAATATCTGTTTTAATTGGCTTTTTTTTTTTAAAATGGCAGGTTGCAAATTATTTGAACCCTTTCAAGATGTCAAAACTCCAGTTCTTGAAATAATGGATTTATATGTTAATGGTGCAAATATTACTAAGAGTTATAGCTTGGATAAAGAAACAAAAATACTCACACATTACTGCTTTTTTTGCACCATAATAATACAGTTACATTATTTTTTCAGAGATTCTCTGTAAAGTTCCCCAATGCTTAATTTAACTTCTTCAGAAATGCTATTAAAAATTGATTTCAGTTATTTGGAAATTATTTTCACCCAACGTTGGAAGCTATTTTGTGTCAGCTGGTTAAGAACTAGAAAGAGGCTTTAATTGAATTGTTTTTAATTCTAGCTGAACAAAGATGGATGGGGGGCAGGAAGATATATAAAGTTATCTGACCATGTAAAGTACAATCAACTTAAAACACATTATATTAATTTACCGTATTTTCACGACCATAAGGCGCACCGTACTAAAAGGCGCACTCTCAGTTATGTGTGCCATTTCTGTATTTAACACACACATAAGGCGCACCGGACTATAGCGCGCGTTTTTTATATACAGGTACATGTCCTCTACTACCTTTAAATACTTCTACTGCGTATTTAAAAATACAGCGGGGGCATAACTGAGTATGACTGTGCTTTATTCATGTATTTATTACAAAGTATTAATCAAACCTGGCAGCTGGCCGTGAGACAGAGACATCGCAGATGACACAGCGCTGTGATTACTCCTAAATTAACTTAAAATCCTGAAACCTGCCGACAGAATATGTTCGCTTTTATTACCGGTATCCTGGTGCCTGCAGTTTCAATTATTTAGATGAAAAACACCTGCCAGCAGCCGCGGTGAACGAAAGGATTTCTGCTGTCGGTGCACCGCTGGTATGTGGGGGTCTGAGCGCCTCCGACAGAAATAGATAATCTGGATGAACTGACTGCAATTATTAAGTTTTCAGGTGGACTTTCTCACTTAAAAACATATTAAAACTACTTTATTCCAACTGATCACAGCAAATATAGCTGCAAGATTTAGATTATTTAGATGAAAAAACACCTGCCAGCCACCGCGCTGAAGAGGAGGAGACGCTGCTGTTGAATTAAGCTTTCAGGTAGAAAAATAGAGCGGGAGCAAAACTGAGTATGACTGTGCTTTATTCATGTATTTATTACAAAGTATTAATCAAACCCATCAAAGTCATCATCCTCTGTTTCTGAAAAACAGCTGCGCTAAATCAGACATGCCAGTTTCCCCTTCTGCGCTGTCAGAGTCACTTTCCGTGCAGCGCAGCTCCTCAGAAATAATGCCGGCTTTTGCAAAAGCTTGAAGAACAGAGCCAGCAGACACGTTAGTCCAAGCATCTACAATCCATCCGCAAACGGTGGCGTAACTTGCCCGGCGCTGCCTTCAACTTATCCTGAAACTGTGGTCTCCGTCGGTCATCCATCGCTCCCACGCCGCTCGCAGCCTTACTTTGAACGGGCGCTTCACACCGATGTCGAGCGGTTGAAGTTCCTTTGTCAGACCCCCCAGGGATAACGGCGAGCACAGCGTTCATTTGATTCATCTTTTTTTTCACATCGGCTGTGAGATGGGCACGCAGCGATGGTGATGCGTGGAAAAAAACACCTTGTCTCCTCACATAGGCTACACCTCCCTCAGCCACGCTTTCATCATCTCCTCTTTCACCAGAGCGCTGTCTGTCTCGCTGTCAGCTCCCAGATCAGCTTCTCTGATTGGTTGATGCGGCGCGTCCAGCAGCAAAACTTCAATTTTTCCATCTTGAGCAGCAGCAGCGTGACGTGCTGCACCTGCGGCTCAAAACGCGCTGCATGACCTTTTGCTGCACCTATATGCGCGTCAACCATTGACTTTGCATGTAAACTCGCTGCTTCTGCTGCACCTGCTGGGTCCGGTTCACACCGATGTTGAGCGGTTGAACAGCGAGCACAGGGTTAATTTGTTTCCCCATGTTTTTCACATCAGCTGTGAGATGGGTACGCATGGAGTTACAGATTAATGGTGATGAGTGGAAAAAAAACACCTGGTCTCCTTACATTCAGCCACTCTTTCATCATCTCCTCAATGAGGTGGTCTCAAAAGTCGCAGTTACAACACACATAGGGCGCACCGCACCATAGGGCGCACCGCACATTTTGAGGGGAAAAAAAGACGTTTAAGTGCGCCTTATAGTCGTGAAAATACGGTATCTTTGGAAGCTGAAACACACTGCTGCCAACTATTGTGTTGTCATGGTGCAAAGCATTTCTGGCATGAATGGAATTAAGCCTGTCCTTGTGAGACCAACATTCACCTTTCGTTTGGTTTCTACTTTAACACCTTGATTCATAAAGACATGTAATCAGCATTTATTGATGTGTGGTGTTAATTCTGGCTCCTTGGCGCTGAGGGAGATTTAAACAGGTTGTGTGCACACAGGAGCTAAGCTTAGGTCTGCTCTCTTATAGGAAAGGCATTACTTAGTGTGATGTTAATGGCTTTTTGGGCAAAAAGGTGTCCCATTGACTTAGCTAAGGGAGTGGCCTCTGTGCTTGGATAGCTTTGGATAATAAAAGACACTACTGCTTTTGTTTTTTATGAATTTCAAAGCTACCTTATATCAATATCTGTGGTTTCAAATTTCTAAATGTTTGTCTTAATATAAGTTTAACAATGTGTGTTTCTATGGCAGGCACTGATGCAGGCTCATGACAGTGTAGCCGTACAGGAAATCCCAGAGGAAAGTGTGACCCAGTACCTCGGAGAGACGGTTAAATTAGTGCGGCTTCAGAAGGCCAGAGACACCCCTCTGGTGAGATATGAACTTTGAGTTACTCCTACTGTCTGTATGTATCATCACCCACTTTCAAAACTGTCTTAACGACTTTGCTTGCTTTCCCGATTGCCCTAATTCTCCCTTTACTGTATATGACATGTGTTTCTCCTTGGATTGGAGTAACTGTTTAAAGACTGTTAACAAAACTTTTGTGATCTTCCTTCTTGGGTGTCTTGCTATCAGGGTGCAACAGTGCGTAATGACATGGACAATGTGGTGGTGAGTCGTGTGGTGAAAGGCGGCGCGGCAGAACGGAGCGGACTCCTCAGTGAGGGAGATGAGATCCTGGAAATCAACGGGATTCCTATTCGTGGAAAACACATAAACGAAGTTCACGATTTAATGGTAACCATAACTGTTAGATTGATGTCCTTTAATATGGAGTTCTGATTTTTTTATTTCCAAACTCTTCCAAAATTTTAACCACTTTTCACCCACATTATTGCATAATACTATAAAAAGAACATTTTTCAATGCACTTATAAACACGCAGTGCTTTACAACAATTAACCTTGAGGTTATTGTATCGAGGTGAATTTGATAGACAAATACATGTTAAGCCCATGTCAAAGGGTGGAATAAAATGTGACATGGTTTTAAAGTTTTTTTGATAATTAAAACTTAAAGTGAAGCATGCATTTATAGTCAGTCCCTGAATGAATACTGTGGCAATGGCTGCAGGACCTTTGGGCTAAGTTTCTACTAACATTCCACATCTAAAGTGTAAATTTTGCCCATTCTTCTTTGCCGAATGGCTTAAGCTTACTGAGATCTGAGCACTACAGGCTGCTCACTGCTTCTTTAAGGATAGGTTGAATGCAGAGGAAAAATGTGTACTAATTGTTATGTACAACTGAAAGATTAAACAAAGATTGAAATTAGGGTTGATTAAGAGCATCTGTGAACAGCAGATTTTCAATTGTATTTGGGACTGGAGCCTTCTAATGCACGACTGCTTTGGTCTCAGCCACATTGTAGCTCTGCTTGTATATTTACGTTAATATCCTACTGGAAGGTAAACTAGATATTATTATTAAACCTCCAAGTTGTACACAGTCAGTATTTAAGGTGTGCTGATATTACATTTAACTACGAGTAGATATGTTCTTAAAGAAGTTTGTGTTCCTGAATTTTGTTTGATTAGATAAAAATGGTGTGAATATAACTTTTTTTGCATTTGTAAATAATTTCTTTATTTTCAGTCACCGCAGATTTGTGTTGGTCTGTCACATCAAGTCTCAAGAAAATGTGCTGAAATTTGCCCTAAACAAATGTAAAAAAAAGTTCCAGGTGTTGTGAACATTTCGACAGAATCTATATAAGTTGTATGTTACGTACTGTTTTCTTATGTATTTAACAGCAAGAAATGCAAGGAACTCTAACCTTCCTCCTCATACCGAGCTCTCATAATAAACCTGCTCCTCACAGGCAAAGTGTGGTAAGTCTAATATGGTGTGAGAGTGCATGAGAACTCTTGATGGCATGCAAACAAGCACTAAATCTGCTGCTGTAAACCCTCTCCTCAGATGCATGTGCGAGCTTACTTTGACTATGATCCCTCTGATGACCCCTTCGTGCCGTGTAGGGAGCTGGGTCTTTCCTTCCACAAAGGAGATATACTCCATGTTATTAGCCAGGATGACCCCAACTGGTGGCAGGCCTACAGAGATGGAGACGAGGACAACCAGCCTCTGGCTGGCCTCATTCCTGGTAATCTCATGGTTCAGCTCTTTATAAACATTTTGGTTTTTCTTTTTTGTCTGTTTAGCTTTTTTTCAAATGTCATTTTAATGAGTTTCGCTGGCTTTTACTTTAATACAGATTGCTGTAAAAACTCACGTGTAATTTTTATACTTTAGTAAGCATTGTGTATTTTAGTACTGTCTCACACTTTCTCAAGTATTTTCAACAGAAATAAATTCCCAATAAATTAATGCAAGTTCCTGCTGCATTTTCTCTAAAATGGTAGCCTCAGTCACAGTGCTTTGGAGTGTCAAAGATGGCTGTTGTAGTTGTGAACTAATATTAGCCTTGGACTACATTCTAATGACCATCTGGGTGCACAACTCCTGCTTTGACCTCTATCATCTAACCAGCCCAGTAAAAAGTTTCAAAGAAGATTAGTTAAGGTAAGGTAAGACAAAAAGAGATGTACATTGGACTCTTCCATTGTAAAACATAGATTAAAAAGGCTCTATTTGATAGTAAACACCTTTCCCTTTTTTGGTATTTTTTATTTATTCTCAGGCTGGTATAAATATGCCTATAAAACATAGAAGGGAAAACAAAGGGAATTTATCAGAGTTTGTTTTGGAAAAAGAAATGCTTGAAACATGATTAGCATTTATTAGATCAGTGTTGCACAGGTGGCTTACTGCGAACCTAATAGGATAGTGGAAATCTCACTGTCTGTAGGCGTGCTAAGACAAGTGTTAACATTACCTTTAGCAACGCAAGGTAAGGTGTTAAGTGAAAACTGGTCTTTGGTTTCTTGTAAAGCCACTTTGTCTCTCTTGAATACATTAGGGCAGTTTGTACAAATTAAGGATGATGGTCAGCAGAGAAAACCTGCCTATTAAAAACACTATAAATCCTTAGGCCATTTCTGAAGGATGAAAAACAAATAATGACAAATAATTCAAAGTATCAAAGCAACTTCTTACTTAAAGAAAATACATATGATAAAGACAGATATTATATTTTATATGGATGCATATACGGAGGAGTGATTATTAGGATGTCTTAATTATTAACTGCAACTCCATTTGTTTTTTAAAACTGAGTTAAAAATGAGTTTGAAGAGACAAATGGCTTACTTAGGTCTGCTTTCCTGGTGAGATTTGTCAACCATCTGTTACATCCAGCAGATTAAAACAAACACCTTGGAAGTATTTGTAACTGCACTCTGACCTAGACTCTATAGGGGGTCTTAGTAAACAAAGTTAAGTGCTTAAAATGGAAAGTACGCTGCCTTTTGATCTTTTACTCAGATGTCTAAAAAAGTACAAAACAACTTTAAATGTCAGTTATTTTTCACTTCACAGTATTTTTCCCAGTAGTATTCTAATCCCTTGAACTTTTTTTTTTTTCAAATTTTGACTTTTTATAACCACAAACTTCAATGGATTTTATTGGGATAATAAATATTTTTGTGATACATAAAAAATTATGAAAAGTAAATAACAAACACTTTAGAATGTAAATCATGACATTGTATTCACCCAAACTTTATTCTAATTCCCCTAAAATAAAATCGAGTTAATCTAATTGTATTCCAAGTCACCTAACCCGTAATTAGAATCTGTGGTTTAATGTCCGTATAAATCAAGCTGGTCTCGGAAAGTCGCAGAATCTTTTTAAAAATGCTGAACAATCATAGAGCCCAATGAACACAGCAGACAGCTAAGGGATAAAAGTTATGGAGTGGTTCAAAAAAATAAAATGACTACAGTAATGCAAACTAACCAAGACAGGGTGACCAAGGTAACCAACGGGCCAGGCTAGGATAAATTAAAGAAGAAGCCAAAAGGCTTGTGGTAATGTTCCCCAAATCTAGGTTTTATGAATGACATGTAAAAAGAAAACCTTACAAAATCTGTGTCAGTTTACCACAGTGCACCGAAAGTCACTTATGGGAAGAAGGGGCCCTGTTCACCCAAACTCTAATTTTTTCTGGTCTACATTCAAGGTTTTGAATCAGTTAAATTTTTTTGGCTCTGGGAATAGATGTCTCAGAGCTAGATGATAGCCCAACAGCTTTGCTTTAAAAAGCAAACCAATATGGCTGTTGCTATAAGGTTCCGCTTGGTACTTGTAATGGAACTTAATAGAAAATGACTTAGGGAGTAAAAATCATTACAATTTTTTTTATCCATCCATTTTTCATCAAGTCTAAGCCAAGCAGGGTCACAAGGGGTGCTGGTGCCTATCTCCAGCTGTCTACAGGCAAGAGGAGGGGGTACACCCTGGACAGGTTGTCAGTCTATCACAGGGCAACACAGAGCTAAACAGGATAGACAACCATTCACATACCCACAGGGAGAATTTAGAAAAGCCAATTAACCTAACAGTCATGTTTTTGGTGTGAAGAAAGCTGGAGTACCCAGAGAGAACCCATGCATGCTCAGGGAGAACATGCAGAAATACCCCAAGCCAGGAATCGAACCCGGAACCTTCTTGCTACCCACTGCTCCACTGCAGCCTCTGATCCAATCTGGCCCGATCTCAAATTGGATTGCTCGTAATAAAAGTTCTATGCTGTTACCTGCATTACATGACTCTGTGGTTATGGAACATTTTGAAACTAGAAATGAATTAGCATTCAGCTGCAAATTGGTAAAGTAAAGCTAGTTAATGGCAGTTGTGAGGACAGTAAAAATTTGTGTTTTTGTTTTTTTGTTTTTTTGTTTTCTCCAAAATCAATTATTGGTTATATGAATCCATCTTTAGAAATTAATGTGAGAATTGATTCAGAATAGGAAAAGCTATGTTTATAACACAGCCCTAGTTTTACTGCTGCATTTGGTAAAGCTAATACTGCACATACCCTGACAGCACCAAGACCTTGGTTAAACAAGGTGGTGGCAGCATCATTTTGTTTTGTCTAAACATATAAGATGGTCCTCGGGTGTAGTTGGCCGTCATATAAGAAAACCTGATAGAGAATGTAGTTTCAGCAGCAAAGTAAACCAGTCTGAATCTGAATGGAAATCCAATTGAAAATCTTTTCCAATAATTGAAAACACAATGAGCATATTATTTCAGTCTGCCTGAGCTTCAGCTTTTTTGCAGAATCAGAATCAGTTTTTGTTGTTTTTTTATGTCAAAAATAATAACAATTGTTCACTGCTCTATAGTGGCCTAAAAAAATGCCATGAGGTTTTTATTGGCTGTTAAAATATTAGGAAAATTTTTACTTTTTTTATTTAGATGCATCTACACTGGTTGGATCTTAAAGTTTGTGGTTTTCTATTTTTTCCTACTTCAGGTAAAAGTTTCCAACAACAGAGAGAGAGCCTAAAGAAAACTGTACCAGACAGAAGTCGGGAGCAGCAAGGTACGATTTGAAAATGTAAACATTTAAGCAATTTAACAATTTCAAATAAAAATGTACCCTTTAAAACATTTTTTTCATGCTCACAGGGAAGATTTGGTGTTCAAAGAAAAGCAGGAAACTAAGAAGAAGGAACACATCAGCATTGAACAGAAACACTGGTAAAACTTATTTTATTTCATTAACCCAGGCCACTGTTAGGGTTACGCCTACGCAGAAGCGGAAGTTGACACACCTCGCCTTTCTTACAGCAGCTTGTCCTGACTTGTTGTGTCACAAGTCAGATTAGACTTGCCTTCAAAGACCGGATCAGCTGGAGCTTATATGGCTTCAGGAGACATTTGGTTCTATGGTCCACATATACAGTAGAGACAACTTTACAACATACACAGACCCCCATGTAGGCAAAGTCAAGCTGGTCAGAGACTAACAATTGCTAAACCTTGGGAAAGTTTTGTCAAAACTATAATATGTTTAGCAGAAGGTCAAATGCACAAAGTGCTTTTATGGTCAGTGGCGTTTCTTTAAGCTGTCCTAAACTGTCTCCTCAGACTACGATGACATCTTGACCTATGAGGAAATGTCACTCTACCACCAGCCTGCTAATCGTAAACGACCCGTAGCTCTGGTTGGTCCGGCGAACAGCGGCCATGATGAGTTGCGGCGTAGACTTTTGTCCATAGAGCCAGAGAAGTTTGCCGTAGCTGTTCCACGTAAGTCCTCACTCAGTTTAAGCAACAGTATATTAAAAACAGCTAACGGTGTTTTGTTTTCTGGGGTGGGGGGATTGGCAAGGATTTTTTTTATTTCCTATTTTTTTCCTATTTTTTTCTCCCTTAAATTTGTTTCCTAGTTCACTCCTTCCATCTGTCCTTTTATCTTTCTTTATGTTTTTCAGCCCTTGTTTTCCTCCCCCTTAGGTCACAATCTATTAAGGTCCCAAATAAGGAGCACTAAATTTTACTTGTTGCATATAAAACATTTCAGCTGCAGTTTAAAGGTGTGTTGCCAGTGAGCTGATACATAACGGGTCCAAAAGAGGGGCAGACAGTCAGTTTTAAATTAGGGTTTTCCTTGTAATGTTAGCTATCATCATGGAGAGTTTCTGAGAGCAGAATGAGTTTATATTGTGTTTCCAAAAGGCAGTTGAAATTTGCAACAACCCTGCACATGGTTGTCAGGTATGATCGCTATCTAGAAAGGATGCAAGCACGGGGGAGAAAAAAAGGACCTAATCTGGCAAAGTAGCTTCTGCCGTCTTGATTATTCTGTCGAAGTTATGATGATAATAATCTCCCTATCATATCGTCTTATCATAAAGACAATACTTTTTTTTCATGAATGGAAAACTTATTTTTTTTTCTTCCATTTCTTTTATCAAAGATATTGCAAAGTGTAGTTTATGAAATTAAAGTTTAATTCTTCTTCAAAAAGTAGTTAAAAAACTGCATAGTGATAAAAAAGACATTCTCTCCTAATACATCACTTAAAAGCAAGTGAACGTCTCACAGATGTGTGAACAGCTGTGACAAGATAGTGACATACAGAGAGAAGCTACTTATAAAATATAATAATCCATTTAGCCACTGATTAACAGAGAACAGCACACCAGAAAAACTACTATGTGAGAGTAACTGTGATTGTGTGCTGGAATTATACATTCAGATTATGTATTGTTGTAAAGAGTCTTTCCTTAGGAGATATGGATGGCTTCTATTTGTTAGTGGCTCCAAGTCACAGCCCTTAGTTAATCTAGCAGTTTAAAAAAATAGCTGCTTGATTGACAAAATGTCTCTACCATGTACATTTGCATTTCGTCCTCCCAGTATTTTGTTTGTTTTGATGGTCAGCATGTATTCTGCATATTAATGAACAGACCTGCTGTTTTCATTATACAGATACAAACCTTGATGCAACTACTTTGCAGATTTACTCTCCCCATGCTATCAAGTTTGCATGTGCTTTTATATACAGGTGCTGGTCATAAAATTAGAATATCATGAAAAAGTAGATTGATTTCAGTAATTCCATTTAAAAAGTGAAACTTGTATATTATATTCATACATTACATACAAACTCATATATTTCAGATGTTTATTTTGTTTAATTTTGATGATTACAAATGACAACAAATGAAAATCTCAAATTCATCATATCAGAAAATTAGAATATTACTGAAGACCAATAAAAACAAAGGATTTATAGAAATGTTGGCCAACTGAAAAGTATGAACATGAAAAGTATGAGCATGTACAGCACTCAGTATTTAGTTGGGCCTCCTTTGGCCTGTATTACTGCAGCAATGCGGCGTGGCATGGAGTCGATCAGTCTGTGGCACTGCTCAGGTGTTATGATAGCCCAGGTTGCTCTAATAGTGGCTTTTAGCTCTTCTGAATTGTTGGGTCTGGTGTATTGCATCTTCTTCTTCACAATACCCCATAGATTTTCTATGGGGTTAAGGTCAGGAGAGTTTGCTGGCCAATTAAGAACAGGGATACCATGGTCCTTCAACCAGGTACTGGTAGCTTTGGCACTGTGTGCAGGTGCCAAGTCCTGTTGGAAAATGAAATCTGCATCTCCAAAAAGTTGGTCAGCTGCAGGAAGCATGAAGTGCTCTAAAACTTCCTGGTATGTGGCTGCGTTGACCCTGGACCTCAGAAAACACAATGGACCAACACCAGCAGATGACATGGCACCCCAAACCATCACTGACTGTGGAAACTTTACACTGGACTTCAAGCAACGTGGATGAAGTGCCTCTCTTCTTTTCCTCCAGACTCTGGGACCTTGATTTCCAAAGGAAATGCAAAATTTACTTTCATCAGAGAACATGACTTTGGACCACTCACCAGCAGTCCAGTCCTGTTTCTCTTTAGCCCAGGCAAGACGCTTCTGACGCTGTCTGTGGTTCAAGAGTGGCTTGACACAAGGAATGCGACAGCAGAAACCCATGTCTTTCATACGTCTGTGTGTGGTGGTTCTTGAAGCACTCACTCCAGCTGCAGTCCACTCTTTGTGAATCTCCCCCACATTTTTGAATGGGTTTTGTTTCACAATCCTCTCCAGGGTGCGGTTATCTCTCTTGCTTGTACACTTTTTTCGACCACATCTTTTCCTTCCCTTCGCCTCTCTATTAATGTGCTTGGACACTGAGCTCTGTGAACAGCCAGCCTCTTTAGCGATGACCTTTTGTGTCTTGCCCTCCTTGTGCAAGGTGTCGATGGTCGTCTTTTGGACAACTGTCAAGTCAGCAGTCTTCCCCATGATTGTGTAGCCTATAGAACTAGACTGAAAGACCATTTAAAGGCTTTTGCAGGTGGTTTGAGTTAATTAGCTGATTAGAGTGTGGCACCAGGGGCCATCAATTTTGAACCTTTTCACAATATTCTAATTTTCTGATATGATGAATTTGAGATTTTCATTTGTTGTCATTTGTAATCATCAAAATTAAACAAAATAAACATCTGAAATATATGAGTTTGTATCTAATGTATGAATATAATATACAAGTTTCACTTTTTAAATGGAATTACTGAAATCAATCTACTTTTTCATGATATTCTAATTTTATGACCAGCACCTGTATGCAGACCTTAAATAGATCAGGCCCTTAGTCTTTAGCACCATGGTGGTCCTTCCTTATGTACCTTCCTTTCCTTTTACCCTCCCTCTATCTTTCTCCTTCTCTACTTACCTCTGTTCTGCATTGTGTCATTTCTTCCTTCCTTGTGAATAATGCATCTTCTGTTCTTCTTTCCTTGTCACCTTTCTACCTCTGTCCCACTTTTTTTCTTTACTTTAATCTGTCCTTTCTTCCTTTTACCCATTTTGCGTTTCATATTTCTGTCTTTGTGCTTCTGTCCATCCTTCCTGCCTACTTTCTTCATTTATTTCTCTTTATACTGCCTCCATCCTTTCCATCATTGCTTCTTTCTTTATTTTGTCTTATGTTTTGTCTTTTCTTTCATCATGTCCTTCCTTTCTTATTTTCTTTCTTATTTGTGACCTTTGTTAAGATTTCCTTTCTGTTCTAGTGGCCCTCTTTCCTTAGTTCTTTTTCTGCTTCTTTCTTTCATCCCTTCCATCCTTCATTCCTTTTAAGTTGTTTGTCTTTCCAAGTTACATATTCATATCCCACCAATGGTCTCTGATATAATCTAACCTCCTACACTTAAGGACTGAGAGCTGAAAAGTTAAACTTGGAAACATCTAAAAATGTGTCTCTCTGTTTAATCCTTAGACACAACCAGAAACCCGAGGATACATGAGCGAAATGGACGTGAATACCATTTTGTCAGTCGCTCCACCTTTGAGACAGACTTGGCTGCAGGGAAGTTCATTGAATCTGGGGAGTATGGGAAAAACCTTTATGGCACAAGCATAGAATGTGTCCGACAAGTCGTCAACTCTGGTCGCGTCTGTTTGCTCTGCCTTCACACGAGGGTACATTTTTGTTTCTCTTGATGCTTTTACTGGTGTCTAAAGGTCCCAATAGCTCGTTAGATTTCAAAGTCACCACAAAATGAAGCTAAACTCTTGAGTTGTTTTTATTACATTTTTATTATTGTGATTTTATTTCTCTCTTGTTTTTTGTTTTCTCATGAGCTTCATTTTTACCTCCTAGTCCCTGCCAGTGCTAAGGTCCTCCAACCTCAAACCATATGTCATCTTCATTGCTCCTCCTTCTCAAGAACAACTACGCACTCTACTGGCCACAGAGGGGAAAACACTAAAGGTATGCTGACCTTCAAACATTAAAAAACACAAGTTAATGTCAGAGGCATCCCCCATGCTTCTCTTAAGTAGCTACAATATCAGAGTAGAAATAGTGGAAACTTGTCTGCTTGCCTTTTCTCAGTCTCACTTTTTATAGTCTGGGTCATTTTTTTTTTTTTAAGTCTATTTTGATTTCTGCCCACAGCCGGAGGAGCTGAGGGAGGTCATTGAAAAAGCCCGTGAGATGGAGCTAAATTACAGCCATTTTTTTGATGCAACCATCGTAAACTTTGATCCAGACCAAACGTTCCAGGAGCTGCAAAGATTAATAGATAAACTGGACACTGAACCGCAGTGGGTGCCGACATCTTGGCTCTGCTAGAGGGGGCTGTGTGTCAACTCAGAGTCTCAGGGAATGAGAAGGTAAAGGAAAAGAGACGGACAGTATTATGCTCACACTGGATTTTCCCTTGCACATTCTCTCTTTTTTGGAGCTTAATTGTTACTCAGGCGGACATAAGTGTTGGTCTTTGCTGATGATTCTCCTTTCGATAATTGTTTGGTCTTAGTTTTATGCAAAATAATGTGTTTTTTCATATAGATATATTTCTATTATATTTCTTATAGTTATTTATAATTGTAAATATACATTTTTAGACAGAGTTTAAATATTTTTTTTTGTCACAGGTGGGTGTGCCACACCAGAAACGGCACATTTGACGAGTTCTTAAAAAGCGTTCTGATGAAACTGAAAGCCAAAACATCTTAAAAGGTCTTAGAAGTAGATTCAATAGATTTTAGAGCAGTCTTCCTTTCAGAGTAAAAAACCTGCTGTAGCTCTCTCAATATCAGTATTGTGTCTCATACGCCTTGCAAAGTATTTACACTTTGAGCTTTTTACAATTTTGTCACATTACAACCAAAAAAAGTGAATTATTTGCATTTTCTTTCATAGATCAATAACAATGATTTAATAACTATCAAACTGAAGAAAAAGGACACATAATTAGTAAATGTGGTTGCATCTGCATCTAGAGCCACTTTCCCATCCACAGCATGATGCTGCCATAGTTTGCCATAGGGATGGTGGGTTTATGGCGCTATGTAATGTTAGCTTTCCACAATGACAGGCATTCTGGTCTAATCTGACAAGAGACATTCAATCTTCGGAAGCTTTCTAGCAAACCTAAAACATTGCTTCATATTACAATAAATAAAAACCCAATAAAATACAAAGATTGTGATAAAATGTGAAAAGTTTCAGGAGTAAACATGCCTTTGCCTGGTAATGTATTCTTCAACAACAACTTGAGGTTGTTTGCTATATTACCTTTGTATTGTTGTGTGTTGCTCACTTTGTAAAAGTGTTAATAAATTCAGATGTGCAAAGATGGTGTATTCCCTTCATCTTGTTTACATATTAATCTGTTTTTCTATGTTAAATCAAACATTTTTGCAAATACCAACGAGAACAATGTGTGACTATTTAGAACATCTTTATTTCTATGAAGTGCCTGGCTTTATTGACTCTCACACATTTTACAGTGACACAGTACAGAGAATCCATGTGATGGCAAACACCCTCCCGTGAGGTCAACCCCAAGATAAGAGTCAGGAGATTAACAGATTTCCAAATCACAGACTCTTACGCTCTTTGAAAACTTTAACCACATCAAGATTTACAGCATGCAATGGCTCCAGATATTATGAACAAACTTGAATATCTACAGCTGATCAAGTCACATGGAATGTTTTTTTTTATTGTTTATTTCACTTGCAACCCCATGTAAACAATGATGTTTGCTTGTTAGATTCTCTGGTGGAAAAGGAGTTTTTGAGGGAACACTCAGCTTCCTGAACAGTGACACACTTGGACATTTCTCTGATTTTTCAACACAAAAACATCAAAATGAATAATCTCAAACATAAAACACAAACATTACTTTCATTGCTTGTATGAGAAAACAAACATGGCCAGAGATGCACAGAATAAATAACATGATGAGGGTCAAACTGCAGAGGGCTTCACTCAAATAGCAGGTCCTCGTCCGTCTCCTCCGTCAGCATGTTGGCGGGCTCAGCAATGGGTCCCAGGGCAGCCAGCCTGGCAGCGATCTCCAGCTCTGTCCTCTCCCGAAGCTGCTTCTTCTTCTCTTGGATTTTCTTCAGCCTGTCCGGAAAAAAAAAGAAATCATTACAGGAGGTGTATCTTAGAAACACTTAGTTGGAAAATTCCTTTAAAAGTTATTCACGTCTCTTGAACTTTGTAGATATTACTCCAATAGTCCAACTTTATTGGATTGTATGGACTTGGTTTTAATTAATGTTTATAAACAAACAAAAATTAGTGTGGCAGTATGACGTGGTCTTCACCTGTAGAACTCCTCTCTTTCTCGCTCATCTAGCTCTGTGACGATATAAGTCAGAGTGCGGTCAATTCTTGGAATGATCACTGCAGCGGTGAAGAAAAGAGAAAAAGGTCATTCAAACAAGAAATAATCTTTCAAAGAAGATAATTTACCGCAGTTCCTAAGTTGGAGTTTACCGTGCTCGATGGCGTTAACACGCCGGTTGGTAATCTTTATGGCTTCATCCAGAGTGACAAAAGATGTCTGCAAACACAAATGTGAGCATGTGACAACAGAAATATCTATCCAAGTCTTTTTTCCCCAAAATACTGCAGGGTTAGCTACCTGTAAAGATGCTAATTCTACAAGCAGCTCCACAGCTCTGGCATAGTTCCTCTTCAGCCTGGAGAGCTGCTCTCCTCCTCTGGCCAGACCAGTGAGTTCATAACCTGACGAAGACAAACAGGTAGGATCAATGCCCATTAGAAAGGTTGGTGATGCACCGGAAGAGAGTAACTGGGCTGAACTTACTGTCCCCGCCTTCTTGGTAGTGTTCAAAAACTGGAAGGGTCACACCTGGAATAATACATTCAGAATGCATGAGTGTGTCCCCAGCCTCCACATGGGTGATTTCAGTTAAACATTTCTGAAGCTAACCTGCTACATTGTCCTTTTTGGCTCGGACCTTAACCTGGGCTTTGTTGACGTTCTGGATGACAGTCGTGCTGCGAAAAAAAAGAGAAAATTGCTCGATGCATCAGCTCTTAACTGAGCGGCAACATCAGCCAGATCTGGTAGCGATTCTTACCTGAAATCTCCAGCAGTAAACTTGGCTTCAGCCAAAGAGAAAGCTGCCTCTCTCATCACCTCTCCCATCTTGGTTTTGGTCTAAAGAATCAGCCAAAGGGAGCACATTTTAGGGGTGTTGACAGCTAAAGCAAAGCCAAAAGAATGAATGGAATTAGTGATTTTACGGACTTCGATAATTTTGCGAAGGATCTGACGGAAACGCATTGAAAGGGCGTCAGATTTCTTCTTGAGCAGGCTACGGCCGGTCTGCGCTCCCTTCAGCCGAGCCTTCATAATGGTCTGAGCCCTGGAAGGACAAAGAAGGCACACACCCAGAGTTAATATGGACTATAGCTGCCTTTACGTCCATTTCCCTTAGTAATGGATTAGGTCCATATCTACAGAGAACAACAAACATGGACATCTGTATGTCCTTGCAGCAACTTTAATGACCATCCATCCAAGAATTAAGAAAAAACCTTTTCCATGGGTTTAAAATTTTATATTTTTCTTCCAACCTGAAAAGACTTTAAGGGAAGTTTGCCCTCATCAGAACTAACAGACCTGTGCTTAACAGGAGGGGAGCAAGTTTATTCCTAAAAGGACATGAAGTAGCACCAGCTGTTTCCATCTAGTCATGGTGTTACAGTGTCTTGCTGAAGTGCTTTACTTTTGAATTTTCCACATTTTGTCATATTACATTATTTTGAAAAAATTCTGGGACAGACAAGCATAAAACAGGGAAATGGAAAGAAAGGCATTAAAAACAATGAAGCGCTTTAAGCTTTGCTTCAGAGATCAACTAATACAGGTTTATTAAAACTGATGCCATTGCTAATTATTAACCAATCTCACTAATTCCCAATATGTGCTGCCAAATTTTGTGGGGACCATTCTGGAGGCCAATATTGTTTTTTCTTCCTTCATTAACAAGATAAAAACAGCAAAATGAATGCAAAAGCTACACGACTCTGAATTTAAACAAAAAAAGTTAGCCTGACCATACATTTGAGTATCTCAATTATGCCTACAGAAGCAGCTATATCATTAAAACCAAGGCAGACTGGTCAGGGATCAAACCCAGTAGAAGTTTAAGCAGGGTTGGATAATAAAACATTATTTTAAATTCTTCTATCATCTGAAAATAAACAGTGAATTACAAAACTGAATATAAATACCTTTCAATAGTAATTGATGACTCACTTTTAAACCTTTTATTGCTAAGCTTGTGAAGAAATTAAATCTTACATTGGGTTTATTCTTTCGTTATATATACAGGTGCTGGTCATAAAATTAGAATATCATGAAAAAGTAGATTGATTTCAGTAATTCCATTTAAAAAGTGAAACTTGTATATTATATTCATACATTACATACAAACTCATATATTTCAGATGTTTATTTTGTTTAATTTTGATGATTACAAATGACAACAAATGAAAATCTCAAATTCATCATATCAGAAAATTAGAATATTACTGAAGACCAATAAAAACAAAGGATTTATAGAAATGTTGGCCAACTGAAAAGTATGAACATGAAAAGTATGAGCATGTACAGCACTCAGTATTTAGTTGGGCCTCCTTTGGCCTGTATTACTGCAGCAATGCGGCGTGGCATGGAGTCGATCAGTCTGTGGCACTGCTCAGGTGTTATGATAGCCCAGGTTGCTCTAATAGTGGCTTTTAGCTCTTCTGAATTGTTGGGTCTGGTGTATTGCATCTTCTTCTTCACAATACCCCATAGATTTTCTATGGGGTTAAGGTCAGGAGAGTTTGCTCGCCAATTAAGAACAGGGATACCATGGTCCTTCAACCAGGTACTGGTAGCTTTGGCACTGTGTGCAGGTGCCAAGTCCTGTTGGAAAATGAAATCTGCATCTCCAAAAAGTTGGTCAGCTGCAGGAAGCATGAAGTGCTCTAAAACTTCCTGGTATGTGGCTGCGTTGACCCTGGACCTCAGAAAACACAATGGACCAACACCAGCAGATGACATGGCACCCCAAACCATCACTGACTGTGGAAACTTTACACTGGACTTCAAGCAACGTGGATGAAGTGCCTCTCTTCTTTTCCTCCAGACTCTGGGACCTTGATTTCCAAAGGAAATGCAAAATTTACTTTCATCAGAGAACATGACTTTGGACCACTCACCAGCAGTCCAGTCCTGTTTCTCTTTAGCCCAGGCAAGACGCTTCTGACGCTGTCTGTGGTTCAAGAGTGGCTTGACACAAGGAATGCGACAGCAGAAACCCATGTCTTTCATACGTCTGTGTGTGGTGGTTCTTGAAGCACTCACTCCAGCTGCAGTCCACTCTTTGTGAATCTCCCCCACATTTTTGAATGGGTTTTGTTTCACAATCCTCTCCAGGGTGCGGTTATCTCTCTTGCTTGTACACTTTTTTCGACCACATCTTTTCCTTCCCTTCGCCTCTCTATTAATGTGCTTGGACACTGAGCTCTGTGAACAGCCAGCCTCTTTAGCGATGACCTTTTGTGTCTTGCCCTCCTTGTGCAAGGTGTCGATGGTCGTCTTTCGGACAACTGTCAAGTCAGCAGTCTTCCCCATGATTGTGTAGCCTATAGAACTAGACTGAAAGACCATTTAAAGGCTTTTGCAGGTGGTTTGAGTTAATTAGCTGATTAGAGTGTGGCACCAGGGGCCATCAATTTTGAACCTTTTCACAATATTCAAATTTTCTGATATGATGAATTTGAGATTTTCATTTGTTGTCATTTGTAATCATCAAAATTAAACAAAATAAACATCTGAAATATATGAGTTTGTATGTAATGTATGAATATAATATACAAGTTTCACTTTTTAAATGGAATTACTGAAATCAATCTACTTTTTCATGATATTCTAATTTTATGACCAGCACCTGTATATAGATATATTTTTTAAGTGAAAAACCGCCTCGTCTCTTGCATTTTAAAAAAAAATCTATCTTAGATTATGGGGACTTTTTTTATATAAATGCTACCTCTTTTGAAAATATTGGACTTTTGTTTACCTGCCTTTGTTGAAGCTCATCACTGACCTGTACTCTCGGGTGGGATGGCCTTCCCTCTCCTTCCCTCTCTAAGCCTTGGCGGTGTCAAGGCTTAGATTACTGCCCTCTTACATTTGAACATTACTTACACAGAAGCATGGCCTCTTAAGCCCTGAGATCCAATGACCAACTGCTGCTCACTGTTTCTTTTGCCCACACAGAGCTAGAGAAGAAAGGATTTATCTGCGCAGCTCCTT